TTTTCATCGGATTCAATTCATAACGAACCCGTACGCACGCAACAATATGTTAACTAATTTGAATCCTGATGGGAGCCAAGAAAGGTAGAAGAGACAGTAAAGATAAAAAATAATCAGAAAATGGGTTGATAAACATAAAACTATATTCATTATCAATCACTACCTTCGTCTCTTAAATTACAACACATGTGTAATAATTTTAACTGTTTCAAATTGTTCACCGTAAACTAATCGTCAGAATGAAAACGGTAAATAATTCCATGTCTATGAATTATTATTATGACCATGATACTTTTAGAGCAGGTAATGGCCTATGGGACAAAACAAATGACAAATCTGAAGGTCATATAAAAAGCAATGCACTGATTTTTTTTCTCCGAGGCTTTTACTTCAGATATTTCCTCCTTACATTGACACTACTATGTAGTCGCTCTACTTATGGATAACTGCAATCCAATGTCTCAAAAATTAGCTGTTCCTTGCAAAGTATTATTTTTATTCTATCCTGGGATGGCTTGGGTAATCGCTGAAGAAATCAATTAGATTAGCTGTTCCTTGCAGAGTATTATTTTTATTCTATCCTGTGATGGCTTGGGTAACTGCTGAAGAAATCAAAAATTACTGTTCCTTGCAGAGTATTATGTTTATCCTATCCTGGGATGGCTTGAGTAACTACTGAAGAAATCAAAGATTACTGTTCCTTGCAGAGTATTATGTTCATTCTATCCTGGGATGGCTTGGGTAACTGCTGAAGAAATCAAAGATTACTGTTCCTTACAGAGTATTATTTTTATTCTATCCTGGGATGGCTTGGGTAACCGCTGAAGAAATCTTTTTCAATGAGGAAAAACACCATCCATGCAGGAAATCTCCTTACTAGAAAGAACAGGAAGTATTATTACCCTGAGGTCAGATTTTATGGCGAGTGAAATAAAACTTCCTTTTCAAAAGATCTATTACAACCTTCTTACAAGTAACTGTCCATGGTGAGAAAATCAACTCGTGTTTTTTACATTTTTCTACACACTTTCCGCAACCATTCACAGTATTATGCTAGAGTCGAACTTTTCCATATGGAACTCAGTCTTGCCTAATTCTTAACAATTTTACACAGAGTTCATCCTTACCTTCACCTGTAACTGCCCATGCTGAAATTTTGGGAATCGCAAGGGAGGACAAACTTCTCCACTGCAGAGACTTCCAGTTGATATTGGGCATCAGTTCAAAGCCTCTAATCCATATTTCATCAGTACAATTATATTAGGCAGAAACTTTTCATCTTTATGATCAACTCTTCTTTTCAATGATGTTGCAATATCCAGGAATTTCTGTTAAGCAGTCAAGCAATGATTTCACTACATTATTTCAACCAAAGACAGTATTACAATCCATTACTTTATCACGAAAAAACTTCAAAAGTATTGTTGAGGTTTTGTAAGAATCACGCCATGCAAATTATTAATTTTGAACTCTTAATGATCTTTGATCTTCTGCTCTCACAGTACCCTAAAAGCCTCTATACTGCACTTCAACCACTCGTCACTTCACAATGTCGCGCTCTCGAGAACTCAACAAACGCATGAAACCCATTGCAAGGTTAAAGAATACAGAATTTTTTACAGGAAACACATCAAACACCTATCAAAATTACTAGGAAGATCTATGGCAGCACCATAAACCTGGAAATCAGTTGGTCCAACATCAAATGTTGGAAGAGTGTCATAACTTATGAATGCTAAATATTAGAAAACAAAATACAGATGAGGGGGGAGGAAAGAATTAAATACCTCATGCCCAAATATCAGAACTTTTTATTCTTCAACTAATATGTAATATTTGTAAACTGCCAGACATTTAATTATGCTTGACATCCTTCTCCTTGTGTAATTCACACGTTAAAATTTCTTAGGATAATTTGCTGATATTACCACAAGAAGGTAGTCTCTCCATCCATGATTAGCAAAAACTTGATTCAGTTAGCTACATAAAATATATCTTCAGGCAGAATTTTGGCAGGAATCTTTCTGTTTGATTAATCACCCCCCTATTCTTCAATTCAGATATATTTAGCACATGAATCTTCATTTTTATAATTTTAATCAGAAGTTTCCATGATGAAACTGGCATTAAGAACTTTGTAGTGCTTTCATGGTGTTTGTCAAAGCTTGATGTACTACAGATTTGTATACTTTATAACATACATTGGAGCGCGGGTGAATAGAGGTGAGTCGAATCGTAAGTTTTTTTCAAATCCAAACCCTAAGAGTTTCTTGTATTTTTCAAATCAGAATAATAACAAGAAAAAAATGAAAATACCTAACATAAAAGCTTTTTTTTTTTTTTTTTTTTTTTTTTTTTAATAAAGCAAAACTCGAAATCCGCCTCCAATAAAAAAATTAATTTTAGAACACATTTTTTTTTAAATACACTTTTATGCAATCATTTGAATTCAATGAACATTTAAAAATTCAACAGCCTTTCCTGAATAGTTCGATGATAGACATCTGGAGTCATATGCACGATGCTGCATTTATTTACCATGGCAAGAGTTGATAGAAACATCCAATTCATTACTTTAATCTACACACTTTTAAGCTCATAACGACCCTTCTCTAATTTCTGATCATAAACATGTATCATTATCACTGCACAGATAGGAGTACGGAATTTTAGCATATTACAGGACTCAATATTCAACAGCAGTGGTTATCATAGTTATGAAGCAAACTAGAAGAGACAAATAGCCTTGAAGTGCCTTTTTTAAAGTAACAAACTGTTGTAGGTTACATCCAAAATTATTGAGATGATTCAAGAGTTAGTTTTCAGTATTTTCAAAAAAAGCACCACATCAATTACTTGAAAAAATTCCAAAAGGTTCCAATGGATGTCGTACTGAAACAATATGGCAGTCAGGACCATCATGCGGTGATAAGGGTGAGCCAGATTCCACTAAATGTATAATAGTCATATTTTTTTAATGAATGCTTCTGTTAGCTGTCAATAAAACTTAATCTCTCCAAAGTTTCGATTTAAGACAGTTATTTGCTTCTTAGGTTTAGGTTTGGAACAAAGAAAAAAAGTTTCTCAGATTTGCTTTTTGAATTTTTGGCAAAGTTGACAACTGAATTTAAAACAATTTGACTACATCGAATAGTCATTTCTTCACATTGTGTGCTCCCATGACTTCTAAAGAAGCACATTATGAGTCAAACACTTGGATCTATTTTTCAAATTAAGTTTTACTCTTCACTCAGAAGAAAAACTTTTTGTGTCACTGCATTCACAGACTGTTATGTTTTCTTTAAATTTGAGTTTACTTATGTACTTCTGTTAAAATCAGCCAACAATAATAAACAGAAATGGGTTGTGGAAACCAGAAGAAAATGCTTAGTTTTTAGCCTAAAAAAGAGTGTTTGTTGCATAATACAATAATTTTTAATTTGTATATTTTGGAATAATTGTTGAATACACAGCAAATTATTTATATTTACATGTATATTTATATCAATGATGAAAAAAAAATACAGTCAAAAGTCGTTAATCCGGACTCATCGGGTTTTTGGCGATTCCGGATTATCGATTTTTCCAGATTATAGATCATCAGTTTAAATCTCGTAAGATGGCATGCAGAAATTCTAAAATTAAAAATATGAAACCGTAATTTATGAAATAAAAAACAATTATGATCTAAAGGGTATCAAAATTTACAAAAAAAAAAAAAAGCTTAATATTTATTTGTTTACTTTATTAAACATTTCTTTCAATGTAAGTTAAGTTGCTTCATTTTATATGATAATACTTTCTCCTTAATTCTATAAACAGACATAATTTTTTGTTCAGTTACAAAGTTCCGCTGTTCAAGTCCCATTAATTGCTGTGCCGAGAATACCGACTAACTTGTCAATCGAAATTTTTTCGTTTTCACTAACCTCTCTGTCACATTCTTCATGTCTTTATCCATTTTTTGGAGCAATGCTACTTTTTATTTGTTGGACATCGAAACATACTTTCGTTTTGTAGATCCTTTGGAAGTTCCAGCATCGGAAATTCTATTTGACATAATCGAAATTTCAAGTTTACTTTTATAAAATTGCTCTTACAGTCTGCAAAAAATAATAAGCGGGATCTAATTCGAAGATTAAGGAACAACGCAATCATTAACATTAACTGAAATAGATAATTAGATAATTTTAGCTTACACCGTCCGTTATATATTAAACACGCAGGCGAAAACGTATTCTGCACTTGCGCACACGCATATGCGCAGTAGTCAAGGTCTTACGCACACGCGTAAAACGCTTGTGCGCAGCGCAAGTTTTTAGCTTTGAGGTCCAGATTATGGGTGTCCGAATTAACGACTTTTGACTGTACAAATGATTTATTCATTTACTTCAAATGTTTCTTTTTACTCAAAACCCACATAACTACTTTTAAAATGAAACAAATATGGAACTGTGGTTCTTGACTTTTTCTGGTATCTAACATGCGAGACCTGCATCTTGACCTCCAGCAGTAGCCGAGTAATTAAAACTGTTGAATACTGGTAGTTCGACCCAGGTTCGATTACAGGTGAATGAGTTGACTGCATGTTTGGTTTTGAAGTTTTTGAGTGATAACACTACAAGTCAGTTTCTCTTAGAAATTTCCTTTCCTCTGAGCAGATAGCTCTAGTGTGCTTTACCATTTTCAAATAAGCTAACCTGATGCTATGAAGTTTGGCCATGTAACTTGGTATGCTATTTCTAGAGGGAGGAGTAAACAAAGAATTTGGTAAAAAAGTACACATAAATGAGATGTACTAAATACTAGGGTTAGATACTGTCTTTAGTATCTGCTTATTGTATATTGGCCTATCCCTTTCAGTACAGGCAGGGCTTTATAATTTACAAATGAAGAATCTTGATTCAAGTAAATGCAATAATCAGTTTCAAATAGAACTGACAAATGGAAATTTTAAATATTCAGTGTCTAAATAAGAAATGCTCGGGGAAAGGGTTCCAAACTGCTTAAAAGTAATTTATTTATATAAAAATATATAGATAACATATTTATTATATTTTAATAAACAAGTTTATATCCACATTTATAATCTACTACACTACTTTAGTTTGTATTTTACAGATTCTTTAGAATACAAACTTGAACTCCAAATTTTTTAGGAGAAAATGATACTTTTACACATGCTGAGGAGGAAGGACAAGATGACAAAAAAAAAAAGTGTTAAAGCTGCTATTATAGAACCTTCTAGAATAAAAGTTATAATTCTGAGATGTTCTTTAAAACTATCCCTCTAAAAAAGGATATGGCTATGTTAATTTATACAAGCATAAACATGTATTGTATATTTTTGGAATGAGCAGGTATGATCTACTCTAAAGTCAAAATTGGAAAAGAGATTTTTAAGTCACATGCTCTCAATACTCTTGAATATTAAAATGAAATAATTAAATTACTGAAATCAAGATCATTTTAAAAGAATATACTACAAAGCTATACCAATTTTTAAACAACCAAAAAATTTAAACATCAACACAGATGATAATTCTAAAAAATCAAATTTTCCCAAGCAGGAAATCCATAAAAAATGAAAAATTTGAATATATGGGGACTCAATTTATACACTGACTGGATCAAAATATAATATACTACTATTTACGCCAGAATAGTCACTTTAAGACCATTTTTCTCCATTTGCTTTCCTTGTAACAATAGTATTGACTTTTGTAGATGATGATAAGGTATGTGGTGATGATAATAAGTTATGATCAGAAATGTGTGGAAAGTCATTACGACTTTGAAGTAGCAGATAAAGTAGCAGATTATGGTTCCTTTTTACCTGTATGTATTATAAAGCAAAGCTTCAGATTGTATATCCAACCACAGAGAAGTTAGGCAAATATATGCCAAGAATCATACGACAAACAACCTAAATAGCTCTCTAATGAGTTATAAAAATGTGTAATTAATGACAAATTTTTCCAATGTTCATTCTATGCCTATATGTCTTAAAGAAGAGATCACTCTGTTCAGTGATATGTTAAAGTTATTTAAATTCAGTACTCTACACTACATTATAAGCCATGTTTACTAAATGAGAATTAAGTAACATCTTGAGTAAAAAGTACTTAGGAATACCTCAATATCTTCTTTCATAATGATAAGACATCTTAAAGTATGTCAAAAATCAGAAACCAAGTTTAATGAAAAGTACTAAAACAAAATTTAATAAAAAATTAATTTTGGGTGCAGTTTTAAAAAATAAACTCATCTTAACTTTCCTACGATAAAATGATTTAATATTTTTGTTAATACTGTCACAATTTACTAGCAATATTTCTGTGCACTGAATCTAAAATACTTTTTAAGGTCAGCCTATATTGTCTTAAAGCTTTTATGAAAAATTATTCTACAAGTTACATCATGAAATGTAACTAGTTTGTAACACTGAGGAATAAGTTTTTATATCTGCTTTTATAAAAGGGCCTGATTTGATTAAATAGCTGTCATGTAATTAATTATAAGCTTTTTGCTAGAAGGTTATTATAAAGTACTTCATATTTATCAATACTGTTCCATATACATATTCTCTTATTTTTCCTTGTATTACCTTCATACAAACACGTGATATTAAAAAACAGTATAATGCTTATAACAAATCAAGCTTTAAAAGAATTGCATGAAAAGCATCTCTTTTTTTTCTCCCAAGAATCTTATACAAAGAAAGCAACCTATGCATTCTTATTCAATTGTTCTGATTTAAAATGTTGCAGTTCTCTAATTTGACTTAAATAATCAAAACTGGCTCCATTAGAAGCTGGATGTAAAAAACATTTCTCTACATAGAGTATGCAAGGTGAAGACTAAAATTTTTAAGCATATGTATAAATGAATAACAAATTTATATATATATATATATATATATATACCACAAAAGTCAGGAAATAAAGTTTAATGTTTTTTCTAATTGCATAATTCTTAAATATACACTCCATTTCCATAATCTAGTAAAAAGAGCCAGACTGTAATTATCAAAATCATACATTTCGATGCTCTGGCATAGATATTGCCCTCCGAACCAATGGAAAAAAATTAACTAAGTGATTAGAATTATACAGTTAGCATTCAATAATGAAGTTACAAATACTTATTAAAAGTTCTTAAGCTTATTTTCAGTAACTATTTTCCTCTCCTCCTCTTCCCTCTACATTTCTGAGAGGAGCAGTTAAATGCATTCCACACAGTTAAAATCTTAATTTATGGGAAAAAAATTACGAAAATTTATTAAAATAGTCTATTAAGTCTACTAATTCTTCTTTTATGAATGGATGTAACAGAAAAGAGAGTTTAATGAACTTAATAGCAGTTTCTCAGCATCTAATTTAAAACTGCACTGCAGAAGCAGTAACATCCTTTGAATAGACGCCCTTAAATTAAAAGGGAGTTTTCCATTGCTTTGTCAAGTGTGAACTTTAAGTGTAAATACACATTACTAAAAAAAGTGAGCTATGTGAAGTTATAGATTATATTTTATCAAGTACAATGCCTAAAATAAGTTTTAATGTATGCATAACTGATTCCTTTGCAGCAATGCACACCCATTTCTTTGAGCATATACAAGGGAAAAGTGAAACCTTTTCAGCCTTACAGTGAAGGGGGTGTTTGAGCTAGAGTTTCTTATTATGATTTCCCTACGTAATCACTTCCTTTATCAGTACACTTATGATATCAATGCACACCTATACCAGTGCTACAATTAGTTTATAGTCATCTTATAGAATGATTTGTTCCGACTCTTATCCCACTGAATGGCCATTTCACAATTCAGCACAGAAAAATCAGGTTATTGGTATAAATATTTACATCAGTAACTTCATATCTGAGTTGAAGTGGCACTTTCAAAGTGAATTCTTCATTGCAGGGATTAGATGAAAATTTCATGAGGCCAATCAAGAGAATAAGGTGGATGGGGAAGTAAAGCAACAGTTGACCAAACCAGCTTGTGCAACTGCAGTATGATAAAGAGATTCACTGTCTTGATGTAAGATGACTCTCAATCCAGAAAGAACCAAATCTGTCTTATAAAATTTTGCACTGTGTGTCATACAACCCCAACCTATTATCCTACAAAATCTTAATTATCTAGCACCACTTTTTCCCTGTGAGGCTAAAAACTTTTCACTCTCCCTATTAATCCCCCTCCCCAAGAGGCAGCAACATTCACAACAATAACCATTGATTTAGATAAAGGTAATTGAAAAATAAATGCAAAAAAATTAATCCAGTAAATCAAAATTTATTCATGTCCAGCATGAAATATTTATGCTTGTAATCGGTATTTACAGCTCACTGTTCTTGAATTATATGAGAAAAGTCAAAAATAGAATGAAAGGGGGAAATTGTAGATATCTGCATTTACCAATATTAAGCAAAAGAGGCACTGAAATCTATATTGCTACAGTATATGAAAATCATTGTTAAATACTATTAAAGGTAATTAAATTCATAAAATTATATTTCCCAATTAAAGAGTAATACATTTCAGTTTTCAAACTCAGTTTTTAAGACATATATCCTCCATTGCTTCAAAAAGGGGCCCTGAAAATCAATTTGACACAAGTTTGCATGAAATTTCTATTTAGATGGTAATCAGATTTTTTTTTATACTTATCAATTTATTTTTCTAATAAACATTTTTACTTCCATATTTACCATCATATTTACCAAAAAAAGGGGGGATAAGAAATGTCTACACTTATAAGCTACTACCATTTAAACATCATGCATAGTGGCACAATAAAAACATTTATCTCAACATTAAAAAAATTCCTATATTTTTACATATCTTTGAAACACTAAAAGGCAATTGTACAAATCCGCTAATGCTTAAATTCGATACTTTCTAATTATCCATACTTTTCTGAAAAGTATTCACAAGGCAATTCACTATGTTAACAAAACAAGCAACCACGACAGCACAAAATGCATTGATATGGCAACCCAGGTATGCATGGACGTGCAACAGATGAGCACAGAATGAGTATTTATTTTTGTTGCACTGACAATGGTTATAGTATTCGTTTTTGTAGCACTGAGTACATTTTTTTCTTGTGAGGAATCATAAAGGGACTTTTGATCAGCTGGACTTTTTACCAGCTAATCAAAAAGAGAGTATTGCATTTCTTCAGACATGTGGTGTTTGTTAGCAGAGATAGCAAAAATTTACATATTATGAAGTTGTACTTCATAAACAATTAAATTTTATGGATCCAAATTTGTGCTATTCCTCAATTTATAAGTAAAAACAGATCACTGTGAACATGAAAAAAAACACTGCTGTGTGCAATGTCAAATTTGTGAAGTTCTCCAATTTTTTTTAATTGCTACGTATGAGAGAATATTGAGTGTCTGCAGTGCCAAGTTATGTACAATATGGAGTTTCTGCAAGTCATCAATGTTTTATGAAGCTAAAACAGATCACTGGGTATATGGCAAGAACAGCACAATGAAAAAAGTGTTATTTCATAGGTTTCTTGCACTTAAATTTTATTAACTGGTTACTATTTTATGCAATTCTTAGTGCGTCATTTTTTAAAAATGACTATTGCCTTTCATATCTTAGCTTGGGGGAAAATTAGTCATCAATGGTTGGTGACTTTTCGGAAGAGGGATGTCAATACATTAAATTATATCATGCAGATTTATGAAGCAAAAGTAATAACAAAGTAAAAATGTTTCATTTCAAGATTATGAACTGTTTATATGTACTCTTTCCCTCAAAAATAAAAATAGTTTTGTTACTTCATATTCTACAGTAACATATAAATTTTTTAAATCCAGCCTTTCAATTCAAAAAATATTTATAGGTAAACATGCATATTACTACAAAACAAAATGACTAATTAAAATGTTTATTTTTTAGAGACTAATTAAAATATTTATTTATTATAGACTAATTAAAATGTTTATTTTTTATGGAAAATTCATTTCAATAAATTGATTTTCAAGTTTCCAGAGGGGGATACTTTGCTTAACTATTAATTTGAAATATATTTCGCTCAAAGAAATTTTTGATATAAACAATCCCAAGAAAGACTTCAAAAGCCTAATGCAACAATAATTTTTCTTATGCTATGAAATTCAAAACATTACACATATTACAATAAACATACAATGTGGTTTAAAACTGACAGCGGGAATCCACCAAAATGTTCTTTTCAAAGCTATTTTACTTACTCTGGTCTACTAATCCAAAATGAAATTTCTGGTTATTTAGTAAAAGGCAAACATATATTTAAAGAAATAACAAAATAAGCGCACTGAAAACCAACTCTTCTTCTATATATAATGACATTAAGAAGCAGCCAAAAAATTCCAGTAGTCAAACAGTTCAGAATTCATCATTCTTCGCGTCCAGCGTGAAGTAAAAATTTACACCCATGACATAAAGTGACACTACAATAATGGCTCATGAGAATTTTTTCGAAAAATGTGATGGCAGCCAAAAGCAAAATGAAAGGAAATGCAGACATCTGCAATCAGCAAGGCTATTAAGTAGATGAGGCACCAAAGACCAACTGCTACAATAACTTTAAAGATCCTGTGACTTGATCAACAATATCAATGCGGCCCATCAGGCACAAGACCGTTGTAGAACCTGCTGCCACCTACAAAAAATTAAAACACTCTTAAATGCTTTTAAGTCTAGAAAAAAACTTAGATCAAATTACTTTTTAAATCATACACTGCAATTAAAATGTTATCAGTTTCTATACTCAATTATGATAATGCACTTGTTTTAATAATTATTAACAAATAAGAAAATAATCATTTATCACCATGATATATTCTTAATAAATGCTCCCTGCTATAGCTGTCCTTTTAATAAAAATATACTGAACATTAAGGTTTGACACTGATTACAAATTAGTTTTGAATAACGTTCATTAAATTATTTACTCTTAGTTTAATTCATATTCTTATTATTTAATTTGTATTTCTTCATTTGTCACATGTAGTTAGTTATGTTTTGTGCCTGCTAAAAGCAAACACATATACAGGGTGTATATATTTAAAACCCACATTTCAGAAGGTTTTATAAGAACTGTTATTTAAATAGTTAAAAGTCTGTATGAATAATCTTGCAGTATTGGAATTTTGCTTCATAAATAAAACATATGAGAACAAGTGACACTATTACAGTTAAAAGTAACATAAAAAAAATCAAAATATTTACTACTTGTATAGAAGGTGTTCAATACAGTCCCCTATGCTTTTGTTGCAAGCTGAAACTGTAAAATCACATGTTCGTAACATTGTTTCTCAACACAAACTGTTTCTTTTGAGATGCTATAGATGAAAGCATAAGCTTTTTTTTTCCAGATCCACAAGTATGCAATTTGTCCATTTAAAAAATGCGTTTTTCAGACAACTCAAAAGCCAAAATTGCAAAAATTTCACATCTGATGCATTCATTTTGGAAACAGCTATAACTAGTGTCTAAAAGTTAAGCAGCAAAATTTGCGTGCATAAGATGTGTACACACAAAGAAACTAACTCACAGAAAAAAATTCTGCATACCAACATTTTTTAACAAGTACAGATTGAAATAAGGAAAAGCACTTTTCATCCTCACAAACATATTAGGTATTGCTAGGATTTGCTAACTACTAAGTTTCTGTCCCAGACTTGCCAACCTAAGACACTCAAAAATCAGGAGATTTTTCTCAACGAACGACAAAAGGACTTTTTAAATGATAAAAATATATTTTTTAATAATGAATTAACTTTAAACAAATATCTGAAAGTTCAGTTACTAATTCTTAAACGCAACAGTACAAAAATACCTACTTGTAAAAAACATTTTTATTATTTGCATCTTTTAGTAAAAAATAATACTTTAATCAGTTTTCGTGCAAATACTATTAACAGTGACAGATTTTAGAACTCTTTTCAAGATAATAATAAATATCAACAATGTGTTCGGCGACATTTATAGGTAAAGAAGCTGCTCCTTTGTCTGCAAGTGCTAAGCAATTATCCAGAGTAATTGCATTTTCGTTTAAAATTTTAATAATTAGCTGTGCTATATTAAAGTCTGTCTAACGTGCTTCTAAGTTGGGAACAGAAAGTAAACTACACTCAATTTCTGAAGAAACTGGATTAAAATAAGAAACAACAATTGGATAAAATTTTGAATCGGTATTATTGCCTCCATCCGCAGAGATGCAAAATGGAGCTGTTTTAATGCAGTCAATAACTGAAGATTTATTGCTCATACCCATTTCTTTAACAATTTGCAGGCGTTTTGGTCCTTGCACTTGAATATTTCTTAGTGATTTTGCTATCGGGAAACATTTTTCTAAATAAAACTGCAGCATGATTCAATGCTTTCAGTGCCAAGTTGGGCTCAAGTAAAAAGTCAGAGAATAGGCATTCGGCATCGATAACTTTTCGGTCCTTTGCTTCCACAGTAAAATCTAATTTTTTGCTTTTTCAACAGATTCCTGTTGTCTTTGTGTTTTTGCGTACGCAGATATTTGAGAACATCGATCTTTCCACTATGCAAAATTGAAAAATCGCAGTGACAAAAGTACACATTGCAAATGTATTACATTTCCTTGAGGAAATAATAGAAAGAAAGTCTGAATTCGAAGACCACTGCAGTAAATTCATGTTTGCTTCACTCAGTATAAATTTAGAGTCTCTTCATAGAGATTCCGCTTCTTCAACAGTTGATGCCCCACTTATTAAGTCATCAACATAAAGTTTTTTCAAAATAGAACATGCTTCACTCTGTGAAATTTTATATTTCTTTAAATGAAGTCGTATAGTTGCTGTCAAAATAAAAGGACTGCATTTCACACCAAAAGGAACACGTGTCATTCGAAAAATTCCAATATCACGACCATTGAAATCAAGTTCGGTTCCCCCCTCATTTCTCCATAAAAACTGAAAACCTTCGATCCTCCTCTGCTACGCCAATCTCTAAAAATGCTCTCTGAATATCAGCACAAAACGCAATTGGGTGATAACGAAATCTTAAAATAATCCTGAGAAAATTTGGATTAAGGTTGGGACCACTATCTAAACAATCATTCAGCGACTGTCCATCTCTAACTTTCGATGACGCATCATACACAATCCTAACTTTCGTACTTTCCTTTGATTCGCGTACTACAGCATGATGAGGCATAAAATAATCAATTTTCCTATCACAATCTCCATGAAATGCAACTTGCTCAATAATACCATCCCTTAACTGCTCATTAATTATTTCTTTATAACAAAATACAGATGCAGATCATGCCTAAATTTATTATTTAAGCTTATCAAACGTCTTTCTGCAACTTCATAATTACTGTTCAATGTGTTACAACCCTCCTTCCATAATAATTTAGTTTCATACCTCCCATTTTCTAAAACGTGGTATTTCTTTCAAACCTATCTATGACATCTGCATCTGATTGCGAAATTTCCTTCTCCTGCTTTATTCCTATAGACTCCAAAGTCCCTACAAATTCCGAATTCTTTCAAATTCTCCTTGTTCCTTCACAAGATCTGGTTTACACAAGTCTTATCATCGCTCATGATTGCCATGAATATCCGATCCCATTTCCTTACCTTGGATCACAAACCCAAACAAACTGTCTGTAATAACTAATCCTTTCCCTAATCTTATGTTTCTTTCATATAAAATTTCCCAAGTGTAATCTGAGCCGATCAACATGTGTATCTCTTTTGTATTTCCAATGTCGGCCAATTCTATTCCCTTACTTAGAGCCATGTTTCTGACCCACTTTGAAGGAACTTCTATGTGGTCATGGGTAATCGCATCAATTACCGCTGCTTCTATGCGGAGTTTTTTACTTGGGTTGGTTCTATTCTGCAAATCAAGCTGAACTATATTATACTGCTGTTTAGGTTTACACTCGCTACTAAACCCATATATTTCAAACGTTTCACATCTGGTAGCCTTCAATCCTAAGGAGTCCACAGTTTTCTTTCTGATAAACGTTCTGTTACTCCTGCCATCTATTAACACCCTCAAGATTTCGCTTTTTTTATTTGTTTTTACTATAGTGCTGAATGTTTGTAGTAAAACCGGGGATGACGCTTCGGCGCTCTCAGTTTTGTTTACAGATTCCCTTTTACTTCCTCCGAAGCAATGCAATGACTGTACCGCAGATAAATTATTGCCCGTTTCTTTACTATTTGATTCAGCTGCATTATCTGTCGGTTCAGCCTTATCGCATATTAAATAATTGTGAGGTTTTTTACATAATTTGCAGAGCTGGTCCTTTTTCTAGCAAAATTTTAAGGTATGTCTACGTTTCAGACAAATGTAACATCTCCCTTGTGATTTTAACGAATTTCTTTTTTCTGTTAATGGTAAAGGACATTTATGTGTTTCGTGAGATTTATCCGAACAGAAACTACACATTTCATTCACTATGGCCGAAAGCAGCCGCTGCTGGAATGTGTGCTTTTAAAATGTTTCATTTTGAGTCTACATAATTTTTCTGATAATTTTAACTCGTTTCTCTATTACTAAAGGGAATTTCATTTCACTTAAAGGTTTTTGAATCTGATAATAAAAAAGACGCTTACCTTATTTCTACCTCTTTTCTCAAAAACTCAACTAAGTGCTCTATATCAAATGATTCATGCGATTCGTGTTGCCTATTGTAATACAAATTTAGCTCATCTGGAATTTTCTGTAGTATTACCGGGCAAAGTAAACTACTATACGTTCCTGCTGCAACACCTAAAGACTTTAATGATCGAATCTGAATCTCAATCGTATCATACATTCTTCGCAATGCTGGAACGTTCGTGCATGTCTTAACGGAATCAATCAGCAGCAGTTTATTCATGTGCGAGCTTATAATCAAATCTAGAATTTCGAATCTTTCTTTTAACAACTTAATTGAGGAATCATAATTTTCGTTTGTTAACAAAAATCCCGAAACTGCTGATAAGGCAGTACCTCCCAAAAATGTTTTCAGATACAAAAACTTCTCAACCTTACTTAAGGAATTGTTATTGTGAATAGATACTTCATAGGAATTCCAGAAATCTAACCAAGAGCTACAATCACCATAAAACTTCTCAATACTTAACTTTGGAAGCTTAACTACACTACTTTCATTTCTTACTACACATTGTTCCAACCTAACATTTTCATTAACCCGAATTTCATATTGCGAAGCCCCGTTAAAAGCATTTTCTATATGCCTACCTAGTTTCGTTTTCCATTGAATACTGCGTTCCTGATATTCTTCACTCTCAGCAATTTCGTTTTCTAACTCATCTATACCAATTATCGCTTCTATTTCACTATCTAAACCCTTAAGATTCTTTATCTTTTCAATCAACTGGTTTCTTTGATCATAAAGATCATCAAGTTTTTGTTCTTTACTGTAATTTTCACTTAAAGGTTGTTTATTGAGTCTTCAATTTTTGCCAAAAGATTACAAAAAAGCTGCCTAATGCAGTTTCGTTTCTGCCTTAACCTTTCAACTCGTTTCACCATGTTTGTATAAACTACTTCTGTTTTCAAAACTAAATTTCAAATCAATTTACAACTAAATAATCAAATCACCACTATAAATTTAAAACTTTCTATCACATACAAAATCATAACACTTCAAGAACTGAATCTAAA